CAGGTAATGATCTCAAGGTTTGTGGGTTCGAGCCTCGCGTTGGGCTCTATGCTGACAGCCAGCTCAGACCCTGGAGCCTGTTTCGGATTCTGTATCTCTTTCTCTCTGACCCTCCCCTGCTCACGCTGTCTCTCTCTCAGAAATAAATAAAACATTAAAAAAACTAAAAAAAAAATATTGAGAGGTTCAGGTCTGGTGCTCATTTAGCCTCAGGTCATGGAATAGAATAGAAGAAACAGAAAAGGAAATGTTCAAAGGGCACCTGGGTGGCTCCGTACGTTAAGCATCGGACTCTTGATTTCTACTCATCCTGCATTATTCAGATCACCCCGTTTCACAGAATAAGCCTGAGGCTCAGTTAGGTGAGGTGCTTGGTTGAATCCAGACCTTTCTGACTCCATAAAGCTAGCTGATTTTTTTTTCTTCTTGTTGGTAATAGTGTCACTGATAAAATCCACATGCCATACAATTCACTCATTCAAAGTACAGTATTAAATGCTTTTTAAACATTCAGGGTGAATTCTACAACCATGACCCCAAAAGGAACCCTGTACCCACCTCTCTGGCGATCACTCCCGCCTCATCTTCTCATCCACCCTCCATCACCCCCTCACCCTCGGCAATCAATAATCTCCTTTCTCCATTTCTGTAGACTTGCTTATTCTGGACATTTCGTATAATCGGAATCAGATGTTGTACGGTCCTTTTCATTTTTTTAAGTAATCTTAAGTGCACAAAATAGATGTAGTAATCACAATCCTTGGCTCATAATGCACTGGTAACATTAGTCCATGAAGAGCCTGCCACTTAATTAAAAAACTAGACCATTAATAATAATTTACATCCCTTAACGATTAGCTTTTCCTCCATCCTATCCCTCTGCCTCTCCTGTTCAGAGGTAACCACTCTGGCTGGGAGTTGTGTTTATCATTCTCTTGTTATTTTTATATGTAGCTTCATCACACTCTATATACATTTATAAGCATTTTAGTCCCCAGTTTGCAATTAGAGAGTTTGAACTCTGTGTAGTCATGAAGTCGTACACAGGGACTCGTTTCTTTCACTCGGTGTTATGGAGATCCATCTATGTTAGTGTAGAAATCTACGGTTTATTCATTTTTCCTTATGTGACTGCCACAATTTATCCATTCTCATGCCACTAGGCATCTGTGGGTTTTTTCTAGTTTTTCCACTGTTATGAACAGTGCCATTGTGTCTTAGTGAATGAGTGCAAGCATTTCTCGAGTAAACACTCAAGAATAGCACTGGTAAATGATTTTTTTAAAAAACCCTATTTCTTGTATTTTTAAAAAATGTTTTATGTATTTCTGAGAGAGAGAGGCAGTGTGAGCAGGAGGAGAGGGTCAGAGAGAGAGGGGTAGACACAGAATCTGAAACAGGCTCCAGGCTCTGAGCTGGCTGTCAGCACAGAGCCTGACGCAGGGCTCGAACCCACGAATCGTGAGATCATGACCTGAGCCGAAGTCGGTCACTTAACCAACTGAGCCACCCAGGCGCCCCGATTTCTTGTATTTTACATCCCATCAGCTATGTACAAGAGACTTTGTTGATCCACATCCTCTACAACCTTAGTATCTTAATTTTTGCTCATTGATGGGTCTGAACTATCGCTTCTCGGCCTTTTGGCTAAGATCAAGTGTAAATGGGTCCAAACTGGTATCCCACTGTGCTCTCGATTTGCATTTCTCTGACTTCTGTGTTTGTGGTCCATGTTCACCTTCTGTGAAATACTTGTTCATGTGCTTTGTCCATTTTCTTTTATTGGGCTCTTTGTCTGTTCTTACTGATTTGAATTTATTTTAATCTTGTCAGTTTACATGTTGCAAAAACTTCTTCTTTTAAGAGTTTATTATTTTTATTTTTTAATTATTTTTTTAAATAAATTTTTAACATTTATTTGAGAGCAAGAGCCCATGCAAGGGAGGGGGGGAAGAGAGAGAGAGGGAGAGGGAGAGGGAGAGGGAGAGAGAGAATCCCAAGCAGGCTCTATTCTATCAGCACAGAGCCCAGTGTGGGGCTTGATCTCCCAAACCATGAGACCATGACCTGAGCTGAAATCAAGAGTCAGACACCCAAGCGACTGGGCCACTTGGGCACCTTTTAACATTTTATTTTTAAGTTATTTCTACACCCAGTGTGGAGCTCTACCTCATAACCCTAAGATCGAGTTGCTTGCCCTATCAACTGAGCCAGCCAGGCACCCCACGAATCTTTTTTTTTAAATTTTTATTAATTTTTATGTTTTTATTTGAGAGAGGAGAGAGAGAGAGAGAGAGAGAACTGGAGAGGGGCAGAGAGAGAAACACAGAATCTGAAGCAGGCTCCAGGCTCTGAGCTGTCAGCACAGAGCCTGACAGGGCGTTCGAACTCATGAACTGTAAGATCATGACCTGAGCCAAAGCCGGACATTTAACTGACTGAGCCACCCAGGCGCCCCTCACAGATCTTTCTTTTAATAGACTCTATTTAATTTTCTTAAAGGTATCATTTGATAGGCAAAAGGTCCTAATTTTAATATATTTTGCCTATCATCTAATCTGCAGAGCTCGATGTGGGGCTCAAGCTCAGAAACTGTGAGATCACGCCCTGAGCTGGAATCAAGAATCAGATGCTCAACTGACTGAGCCATCCAGGTGCCCCTTCTGTTCAATATTTAATGAGCTAGAAATTCTGTTGAGGGTTGCTCATAAAAGGTTATGAAGCTCAGATAATGTACTATTAAGGAAGACAGGAGCCCCTGGGTGGCTCAGTTGGTTAAGCATCCAACTTTGGTTCAGGTGATGATCTTACAGTTTGAGTTCAAGCCCAGTGTTGAGCTCTGTGCTGACAGCTCAGAGTCTGGAGCCTGCTTTGAATTCTGTGTCCCCCTCTCTCTGTCCCTCCCCTGTTCGTGCTGTCTTTCTCTGAAAAATAAACACTATAAAAAAAAAAAGACAGATGTACACAGGTAACGTAACAATGTGGTGATCTGAGAAGAGGCTGCATAAGGCAGGACCAGGGAGGACACAGAGGGGACGGACCTACCCAGCCTGGCAGAGAGGACAGGTTTTGCTTGAGCTGATAGGGTCTGGATTACGAATCCCCTGTACTCTTCCCCTTGCTGCCTCGCTCAGGGCTCTGCAGGTTACAAATACTGACGGAAGCAGGAGGCAGTAGAGACAGTGCACACAGAGTGGGTGCTCTATGGAGCCACAGTGGTCAGGTTAGGGTTCTGGTGGCAACACCTACCGGCTGTGACCGTCACTTAGTCTCCCTTTCTTCCTACATGAAACAGGGATAATTCCTGAGATTGGAGTGATAGTAAGATATAACACAAAGCTCAGAGTGCCTGATAAATTTCAGCCATTATTATTCATGAAGATGACTTTAGCAGACCTAAAAATCACAGCTTATTCACACCGCTCTTACAGTATCGTGCAATATGAACACTTGATATAAAAATCCTGCGAAGCTAAGCTTTGTGTGAAAACCAGGAACCAAATCTACCCATTTCTCTTTCATTCACACCTCCATCTGCCGGAGATCATGAGAATGCGGAAACCCTATTTAACAGCTTTTGACTAAAGGCTTCAGGGAGGAGGAGCCCCACAGTCTCGGCCCATGCTTTGAGACCTTGTCCACGTCACCTGGGCGTCTCAGGCCTATAGTGTTGTCCACTCCCAGCGGTAAAGCTGGTCCTACCAATGTGGTCGCTTGAACTTATGTTTATGTTGGTCTGTGGGGCACCTGTTTGTTACATACACATATTATAGGGATGAATATTTATTGAGTCATTTTACTAAGCATAAAATATTGAATCAAATTATTATTTTTTTATTAATATTTTTATTTATTTCTAGGAGAGAGAGAGAGAGAGAGACAGCGTGAGCAGGGGAGGGTCAGAGAGAGAGAGGGAGACACAGACTCCGAAATAAGCTCCAGGCTCTGAGCTGGCAGTCAGCACAGAGCCCGACGCAGGGCTCGAACCCACGAACCGCGAGATCATGACCTAAGCGAAAGTCGGACGCTTAACCGACTAAGCCACCCAGGCGCCCCTTGAATCAAATTATTGACAAAGAATAGTTTGTCCCATTTTCTTTCAGATAGTTTAAATTTTTTTTAATGTTTATTTTTGAGAGAGAGAATGTGGACACACAAGTGGGGGAGGGACAGAGAGAGAGAGAGAGAGAGAGAGACATACAATCTGAAGTGGGCTCCAGGCTGTCAGCACAGAGCCGACACGGGGCTTAAACCCACGAACCGTGAGATCATGACCTGAGCTGAAGTCACACGCTTAACCAACTGAGCCACCCAGGCGCCCCTTACAGATGGTTTAAAGCCAGTGGGGGAAATGTGAGGTTTGCTATCTACATACTGGTCTTGCTGTAAAGATAGTGAGTCTTCATGGAACTCAAATACAAGTGATCTGAACCATAAATGTGAAAATGGAGACAGTTTCGAAGAAGCACTCACTCTACCAGTTACCACAACATATTATATAAAGCGCCAGCCCATTCCAGGAATTCTGTTCTTGGCTTCTGAGCCACGCTTTCCCATGGGGCTGTGTAACCCTGGGACACCATCTCACTGGCAGATTTGCTCCACTGTCCAGCTGCACCACATCCCAGTTTCCAAGAGAAAGGTACGGGACACAGGGGTTCCAGAGCTCGTCTTAGATTGCTGTGCCCGGCAAAACAACAAACTAGAGCCCTTTGAAGTTAGGCCAGCCCTCTACCCCCTCTGATCCAAATTAGGGTCAAATTAGTCTCCTAGAGTCAAAGGTAGCTCTCTTGTCAGAAGGTCACTTAGCCCCAAACTCCCAGGTCTTACTACCTAAAAGGAAAGAGGATTCCTTTACTAAATGCTTCTGTTTCCAAAATTCCCCAACAAAACTCATGACTAATATATTCTTCATGATGGTAAACCTAACGTGGATCATTTAGAAACTCAAAGAACAGAAATCCATGTAACAATACTACAGTTATATTTTATTATACAACAGTCAGAAAGAAATTATCTGCAAACAGCAGTAACTGCTGTAGAACTATATTCTCTAATTAAACAAATATACTTCTTATTTGAAGGTTATTTCTTAATAAATATTATATTTAACAGTACAAAAAAAACGTTATTTACAAAGAACAAAGGCAGTGAGACTGTTTCTGTTTAGCTATAATTACAATAAAAGAAAATACAGAAACATAAAATATAGAAAAATATAAAAATACCTTTTGTTCGCGGCCATATAAACTACCTCCTAGATACACCAAATAAATACGTTCAATAATACCTACTGAGCTACCATTCTGTAGCTACTCATTTGAAATAACTAATATTCAACATCAGAGTCCTGGATTTACAATACTGTGCTTTTTCACGGATCTCTTTATCCGTCTAATTTTTTTCCTTAAGGCTTGATGATCTTGTTTGGAAATATACCGAAAATATCTACAACCTAAAAAACAAAACAAAGCATAATCAACAAAGAGTTTTAAATACTTATCAAATTCCTCAAGTATATTTCCACATTTTGAAAATTTCGCTTCAACTCTGGCATACTAACGATTATGAAAATAAGATGGATTTGTATTATCTATATCAAGATATCCTAAGCACATCCTAAGAGCTGCTGCCAATGAAAGGTACACTTCCGACACATGAACATGTTTCCGATTTGTCATAATTAAAGCACGTATTTTAGCTGGTCCCACTCTGCCTCCCAAGCCCCAGCGATGGGGATATGCATATTATACATATATTCATACATTAAATGAGCCTTCCCCAAAAACAAATTACTACGATCTTCCTTTCAATGTCTGCTTGTAGAACAGCTGAAGAGGCATCTATAACAATACGGAAGTTCTCTGTACAAAAACCTTCACGTGAAGCATTAGAATAAACTCGTACAGGTCAGAGATGAGAACTCAGCCAGCCGTTCTAGCCAGCTAGCAGGCAGCTGGGTGGTGATCAGGCAGCTGTGACAAAGGTCTTTTCACAGTCTGACAATGCCAAGCAGTTCCCTGGTTAAATATTTCAGACATGAATCAAATTTCGATTAAAAAAAAAAAGTAAACTGGGGGTGTCTGGGTGGCTCAGTTGGTTCAATGTCTGACTCTTGATTTCAGCTCAGGTCATGATCCCAGGGTTGTGGATCGAGCCCCAAATTGGGATCTGCACTGAGCATGGAGCCTGCTGGGGATTCTCTCTCTCTCTCTTCTTCCCTCTCCCCCTCAGCCCATCTCTCCTACTTACATTCTTTCTCTTTCTCTTCAAAAACAAACAAACAAACAAAATGTAAAGTGGATATTTTAAGAGATTTTTTTAGGGGCGCCTCAGTGGTGTAGTTGGTTAAGCATCTGACTCTTGATCTTGGCTCAGGGTCATGATCTCAGTTTGTAAGTTCAAGCCCCATGTCAGGGTGTACACTGTCAGTGCAGAGCCTGCTTGGGATTCACTCTCTCCTCCTCTCTCTGCCTCTCCCCCACTCTCTTTCTCTCTCTCTCAAAATAAACCTTAAAAAAAGAATTTTTTTTTTATATTTGATAAGTGGGTGAGACCATAAATCACATAAAAACTAATTTCATTATAGTCTCACCATGTATCCATCTTCTCTGGGAAATTGCTAGGATATGTCCCGTACCTACAAGAACCATCTGGCATACCCTGAAAATAGTATGCCAGAATTACCAACATTTGATTAGAAAGGAAGCAGTGCTGTCTGTGATGTTAATAGAATAATCTGTATTTCTAAACACAACCACCACTTTAGCAAACACAAAACACTTTGTACACAGATTTCTGTTTCCATCTAGCATATAAAAAGATAGAAAGAACTTTGCTCTCACCTTACCCAGAGAAAAAGCCAAATAAACTACAAACTCCTTCCTCCTCACGAGCCACCAAAGATGTGAAGTCCCACAGACAAAGAGCCTGGCTTGCCTTCTGCAAGCACGAGAAGAAGGGCAGTGCCGCACCTGCTCTCAGCATGCAGCAAAGGCAGGTCACGACCAGAATTTGAATCTTGTGACAGAATGAGCATAACCAGAGCACCGACAAAAGCCAGCTCGACTCCTGAACAGACTGACTCAACTCCTGCACTAACATCTGAAAGAAGAAATGTACCCATTTTCAGGCATGATTATGCCTGATATGCACAGAGTACTTTTGAATTTATAAAGCACTTTGATGTGAGGCTCACTGGATGCTTATAAGAATCCTGCAGGCAGCATGGACGGGTATTAGGAAGCCCACTCACAGAGAGGGTCCCAAAGGTTAACCGTGTGACCTCAGTGATGGGGAAAGGCGACAGACCGGAAAATCAGCCCAGACTCTGTGCAAACACAGACACCTTTAGATATCTGTACCAGGTGCCTGTATGCTCACAGGGAACAGAAATCACAGTCTGAATCACATTTCTGTTCTTTGGCGTCGGTGGTTAAGAGAGAAATCTTACAACTGCCTTCATATTTATTTGTCCCTTTCCTCTTAGAAACCAGCATTTCACTAACCTTAGTGACCACCTGAGACACTCACTGAGAATCCCAATTCCAAAACAGTATCAATCATCTCTACATCGAAGCTGAAGAAGCTCTTTCAGCAACAGACTCTAAACTCTCCAGCAACAGACTGCTTACTTGTGGACATGGGGACATTCACTTCATCTTTGAACACACTAAAGCTGTCACAAAGCAGTAAGGGTTTTAGCAGCCAAGATGTTCCACAAAGATCAATTTCCCTTTGTTTAAGAGGATTTTTAAATAAGTTAATGGGAGGTACAGTCTTTCATGGGAGAAATGTTTCCTCCTTACTGGAACAGATAATTGAAAATAATATGGAGCTATTATCAAACAATGAGGTCAGTAAAGAATCTTTTTCTATTTCTAATACTGTCAAGTAGACGATGTCAGTAAACTTTCGATGCGGGTGTTGTGGAAACAGTCTGCATCCTTTATCTTAATTGGCCCCTAAAGACACTCAAGTTACAGCATAAAAAGCACCCGTCACAATCAACAAGCTGAAATCACTGTTTCCCGTCCACAGCCAGTCCTTACAAGCAGATCCCCTGGCCCCAACTCGATTCATTTTCCCAATCACCAGGTATCTCTCCAGCCTCCAGTGCCCCTGGGCACTGTACCCAGTAAGCTGTGACACGAATGGATGGTCACACTTTGTAATTTTAAACTAGTCCAAAAGCTAGGTCTACATAAGAAGACAACAAAACCCCATACCTTTTCCTAACAGTATTCCAGCTACCAGAGCTTTCTCACAAGCCAAACATTTATCCTCTTTCCAGTCGCTTCTTGCCCAAAAGAAGCTGAAGTGAAAGCTAGGCCACCAGTTTTTCCTGGCGTTCCACTATTCTTGGACCCAGGCAAGGTGGTTCCTGGAAAAGAAAAATGTCAAAAGGGAAGGTCAGTGGGGCGCCTGGGTAGCTTAGTCGGTTAAGCGTCCGACTCTCGCTTAGGTCATGATCTCGCGGTTCGTGGGTTCGAGCCCCGCGTCGGGCTCTGTGCTGACTGCCAGCTCAGAGCCTGGAGCCTATTTCAGAGTCTGTATCACCCTCTCTCTCTCTGACCCTCCCCTGCTCACGCTGTCTCTCTCTCTCTCTCTCCTAGAAATAAATAAAAATAATAAAAAAAAAAAAAAAAGGGAAGGTCAGTGACGGAGACGGACCTATACTGGCAGAATCTGAACTTAAGAGCAGTCTGTGGAGTCCTTGTTTCAGGCGGCCGGGAAGGACATTCGGACTAGGCGCGCCTATCACAACAGCCAACCATCTTTCACAATAAGAGGGTCCTATTTGGAGGCACTGGAGAGGAGAAGCTCCCATGAAACTACAGAAACATCTGGGCTTTGAGATGCTCAAGGAGGCCACTGAGAGCACCTATGTTGACCAGAAATGCTCCTTTACTGATAGGTAAGGTCTCCATCTGAGGGCAAATCCTATCTGGTGCGGTGACCAAGCCGAAGATGCAGAAGAGCAGTATCATTTGCCAAGACTACCTCCACTACATCCAAAAGTGCAACTGCTTCGAGAAACGCCACAAGAACGTGTCTGTGCATCTGTCTCACTCCTTCGGGGATACCCTGATCAGTGACGCTGTCACAGCGGGCGAGTGCTGGCCCTTGAGCAAGACTGTGCTCTTCAACGTGTTCAAAGTCACGAAGGCCACCAAGAAGCAGTTCCAGAAATTCTGAGGCTGGACATCTATCCATACCCCCAAGGAAAATAAAGTCATTAAAAAAAAAAAAAAAGTCTGTGGAGAAGATAACGAAGATGTTCCAAAACTAATTTCTGAGTGTGGCCACGGTATAGCACATGCATGAAAGCAAATCCTTTTTAATTCTCTTTGATTTCTGCTTCTCATTTAATTAAATAGCCCGTTCAGTACAGCACAGGGCTTAACAACACAGACCCTGAACTCAGAATCCTGGATTCCAATCTCAGATCTTCCATTTACTTTCTACTGATCTTGGGCACATTGCTTAACCTCTCTGAGCCTCAGTTTCCTTGAAGCTGTTAACGGTACCCGTCTCACAGCACTGTTATTAGATTAAACTGGCCCAGGAGTAGAGTGGCCTTATATAAAGCTCTTTGCATATTGTCTGGTACATCGTAAATGTCCAATAAATGTTAGCTATTATGGTTATTACTGAAAAGTTACCTTAAATGCTTACTTTATGTGCTACGATGAATTACTACTCAAATTGAGATGCTAGTATTATACAAATACGTGAACGCACAGGTTTGGCACTTGATTAGTTGAAGTTTATACTCTGCTTTAGCTCTGGAAAGTGACTTACAGTTATCACACCAAAAACATTCTAAAGTCAGCACTCTTCTATCTCCAAGGTCAAGTCAGATCTGAAGATGGACACATGGATAATGAACCTTCTAACCAACTAAGATGGATATGACAAATTAAATGAAACTTAACTTTGTGGCATCCCATCTTCTCATAAAGTAAAAATGACGGGAAGCTGGGGTGCTCAGTTAAGCATCTGACTCTTGGTTTCCACTCAGGTGATGATCTCAAGATTTGTGAGTTCAAGCTCTGCGTTGGGCTCTGCGCTGACAGCACAGAGCCTTCTTGGGATTCCCTCTCCTCTCTCTCTGCGCTGCCCCGACTTGTACATGCTCTTTCAAAAATAAATAAACGTTTTTTAAAAATGACAAGGGCCACTCCTTTTTTCTCAAAGTGTGGCACTAATGATATTCTGATCAGAGGGACAGTTTTAGATACTCAGCTCACAATGGATTTAACAAATATCTGCTGAATAAATAACCACCGAAGATCTTATGAGGCCCTAAAAGCCCCACAAAAAACTGCTGAAAACCAGCTGAGGGAAAAGCAGCTTCCCATGTGATCTTACACGGTGATAACACAGAGATCATCAAGAGCTTCACAAAGAGCCTGGTGGAGAGTGGGGATGACCCCTTTCTGTCATCATTTCCAACTTGAAAACACACACATTCCCTAGTACTGCAGTGGTGAGGTACAGTTCTCATTTTGACACAGTAAAAAAAACTTTCTTTTTAACGTTTTATTTATTTTTGAGAGAGAGAGAGAGAGAGAGAGAGAGAGAGAGAGACAGAGCACAAGTGGGGGAGGGGCAGACAGAGAGGGAGACACAGAATCCGAAGCAGGCTCCAGGTTCTGAGCTGTCAGCACAGAGCCCGATGTGGGGCTCAAACCCATGAGCATGAGATCCTGACCTGAGCCAAAGTTGGATGCTCAACTGACTGAGCCACCCAGGCGCCCCCATAAAAAGATCTTAATAGAATTTTTGTATGTTTTACTTGTGACCATACTCAGAATACCTGATGTAGTAAGTCTGATGTACCCAGAAGAAACAACTCAAGACACAGCTCAAGAAATTAAAAAACATAAGCAAAGAATAATATTCAAACATTGACAGATAATCAGCTAAAATACTGGGAAATTTTATTGCTGCAGAGGCAGTAATAAATAACTGCGTCTTTTACTTACCCCATTAAAGTCTGTCTCAGATATTTTGCCAAATATTTCCAAGCAGTTATATTTTTAGTGCATCCAGCAAAATCCAAGACTCCAAATAGTACCTCCAGCCCAAGTTTACGGTGGTCTTCTTGTTCTGCAACGGTCACAACAATTAGAGTTTACACAAGATCCTGAGGTGCACAAAGCTAAAAAGATACATTCAGCTGATAAAATATTACTGAATTGTAAGCCTTCTAGTTTGGCTAACAGTTTAAAATAATTCATTATGCTCATACTCTCCTGTGATAAATCGAAATATTCAATAATTTAGTCCTTGCTAATGAAGTCAGAGTGGTGAGTCTGATTTCCAAATGGGCTACACTCTGCTAAGGACATGATTTAAAGCACCTGCCACCTCTGGGCATTTCATACATGTTCTCTTCTCACCGGAGAGGGACTGACTAGTCCCAGTACCTACTGGACTTAAGTAGAATTCCTTCTGTGAAGAAGTTATGTTCTGGGGCACCTCTGGCTGGCTCAGCTGGTAGACTGCGCGACTTGCTCAGGGTCATGAGGTCAAGCCCTATGCTGGGCATGGAACCTACTTAAAAACAGAAGTCTGTTCTTTTCTACAAGGAGCCGAAATGCAGGAAGATCAAAACGAGGTGAACGATATAAATTGAAGGCGTTTCTCTCATGCTAAATGTTGCCTCCTATTCTACAGCAGGGGTCAGAACGCTTCCTAATAAAGGGACAGGCAGTAAGTATTTCAGCTTTGTGAGTGATACGGTCCAGGTCACAGCTACACAACTGCACTGCCGTGGTGCAGAAGCAGCCACAGACAGCACACAAATGCTCCAATAGAACCTGATTTATAAAAACAGACGAGGGGTGGGGTTGGCCCCGGGGCCATCATCTGCTAGCATATCTGCCAAAGGGACCCAAAATAAAAATTATTTACCTGATTTTCTCAGTAATCTATGGAATTCTAACATCAGCTTATGAGATGGAACAATCTGATACAAAATCTGGAAGAAAAAATTAGTTCTGTAAGTTTTACATGTTGTAACAGTATTTCTCAAATTTCAGCTCAGTTTCAAATAAGGTTCTAACTGTCTAATATGCCCTCAGTAAATGAATCAAGGATTTAAAAGGTATTTTGCTTTAGTCCAGTTTCAACTTGGGTATAGAAAGATGTTCTATGTAAAGCTAGTTTTAAAAATCTCCGCTGGGGCGCCAGGGTGACTCAGTCGGTTAAGCTTCCGATTTCGGCTCAGGTTATGATCTTGAAGTTTGTGAGCCTGAGCCCCGTGTCGGGCCCTGTGCTGCAGCTCAGAGCCTGGAGCCTGCTTCAGATTCTGTGTCTCCCTCTCTCTCTGACCCTCTCCCACTCGCACTCTCCCTCTCAAAAATAAACATTTAAAAAATTTAAAAAAAAAATAAAACAGAAAAAAGAAATGCATATAAATCATGAGTGTGCTATTCAACACATTTTCTACAAAGTTATACGTACCCATAATCAGCACCCAGATCAAGAATTAGAACGTTATCAGAACTGTAGGTTTTAGTTAGTTTTGGGGAATTCATAGCCATTACCTCTTCAAATATTGGCTCTGATTGTTTATTTGCTATTCTCTCTCTCTCCCTGCAACCCAACCACAAGTATGTCAGATCCTCGCCGAGTCCTCTGTACACCTTTGTCTGCACTTTGCATCCTTTCTGCTCTCTATGCTTTAGCCTGGTCTTTCCTATACAGTTCACGAGCCCTCTCTTCTGCTATGCTCAGTCAGCACTCAAACCCATCTACTGAGTTCTTAATTTCAAACACTGAATTTTTCAATGGGAGAACAGAATTTCCTTAAATCCATTTTGTCTGGAATACATATAAGTGTCCAACATAGTTATTTTTTGTTACATTCTTAAAAGTATTTTCAAAAGCACCATTAGTGATAGACAGTCTAAGTGAACTCACCAATTTGCTTTTCTTGTAACTATCCTTAACATTTTGTGGCACAAATAGATAAAAAGAAAACTTGGACATTAAAATAGCAACTTTAAAAAATATTATGCAGTTTTTGGACAGCTGGGTGACTCGTTAAGCCTCTGACCTCGGCTCAGATCACCATCTTAGAGTCTGTGAGTTTGAGCCCCGTGTCGGGCTCTGTGCTGACAGCTCAGAGCCTGGAGCCTGCTTTAGATTCTGTCTCCCTCTCTCTTTGCCTCTCCCCTGTTCACACTCTGTCTCTGTATCTCCCTCTCTCAAAAATAAACATTAAAAAAATTTAAAAAATATTATGCAGTGAAACAAAGCCTATTGAAAACTTTAAAATGTATAGTTTCCACATATGAAGGTTGATAATGTCAATTTTGATAAACATGTAATAAATACAGATTAAAGCTAATGGACTTTTTACAATTAGAGAGAGAGAGAGACAGCATGAGCAGGCGAGAGGGACAGAGAGATAATCTTAAACAGGCTTCGTACTCGGCACAGAGCCTAATGTAGGGCTCGATACCACAAACCTGGGATCATGACCTGAGCTGAAATAGAGTCAAACATTCAACTGACTGAGCCACCCTGGCACCTGTAGGTAATGGACTTAAAAAAAAAAAATTTTTTTTAACGTTTATTCATTTTTGAGAGACAGAGAGAGAGAGAGAGAGAGAGACAGAGAGAGTGTGTGTGTTAGTGGGGGTGGAGCAGAGAGACAGACAGACAGAGACAGAATCCGAAGCAGTTTCCAGGCTGTAAGCTGTCAGCACAGAGCCTGATGTGGGGCTCAAACTAATGAATCATGAGATCATGACCTGAGCTGAAGTTGGATGCCCAACTGAATGAGCCATGCCCCCAGGTGCCCCCAATGGACTTATTTATTTTTTAAATAGTTTACTGTCAAGTTGGTTTCCATATAACACCCAGTGCTCATCCCCACAAGTGCCCTCCTCCATGCCTATCATACCCTTCCCCTCCCCCCCACCCCCATAAGTCCTCAGTTTGTTCTCAACATTCAAGAGTCTCTCATGGTTTGCCTCCCTCCCTCTCCCCAACTATTTTTCCGTTTCTTCTCCCCCCATGGTCCTCTGTTAAGTTCCTCCTAATCCTCCTATACGTGCAAACATATGATATTTGTCCTTCTCTGCCTGACTTATTTTGCTCAGCATAACACGCTCAAGTTCCATCCATGCTGCTACACATGGCCAGATTTCATTCTTTCTCATTGCCAAGTAGTATTCCACTGTATAGATAAACCACATCTTCTTGATCCATTCGTCAGTTGATGGACACTTAGGCACTTCCCATGTTTTGGCTATCGTTGAGAGTGCTGCTATGAAGATCAGGGTACATGTGCCCCTATGCATCAGCACTCCTGCATCCTTTGGGTAAATTCCTAGCAGTGCTATTCCTGGGCCATAGGGGAGTTCTATTGTTAACTTTTTGAGGAACCTCCACACAGTTTTCCAGAGGGGTTACACCAGTTTACATTCCCACCAACAGTGTAGGAGGGTGGCCGTTTCTCCACATCCTTGCCAGCATCTAGAGTCCTCTGATTTGCTCATTTTAGACACTCTGACTGGCTTGAAGTGGTATCTAAATGTGGTTTTGATTTGTATTTCCCTGATGAGGAGGGATGCTGAGCATCGTTTCATGTGTCTGTTGGCCATCTGGATGCCCTCATTGGAGAAGTGTCTGTTCATATCTTCTGCCCATTTCTTCACTGGATTGTTTGTTTTTCGGGTGTGGAGTTTGGTGAGTCCCTTATAGATTTTGTATACTAGCCCTTTATCTGATATGTCATTTGCAACTATCTTTTCCCATTCCATCACTTGCCTATTAGTTTTATGGATTGTTTCCTTTGCCATGCAGTAGCTTTTAATCTTGATGAGATCCCAATAGTTCATTTTTGCTCTTGATTCCTTTGCCTTTGGGGACGTGTCAAGTAAGAAATTGCTGCAGTGGAGGTCAAGGAGGTTGTTTCCTGCTTTCTCCTCTAGGGTTTTGATGGTTTCCTGTGTTACATTCAGGTCCTTTATCCATTTTGAGCTTATTTTTGTGTATTGTGTGAGAAAATGATCTAGTTTCATTCTTCTGCATGTTGCCGTACAGTTCTCCCAGCACCATCTGTTAAAGAAGCTGTCTTTTTTCCATTGGATACTCTATCCTGCTCTGTCAAAGATTAGTTGGCTGTACATTTTTGGGTTCACTTATGAGTTCTCTATTCTATTCCATTGGTCTATGTGTCTGTTTTTGTGCCAATACCATACTGTCTTGATGATGACAGCTTTGTAATAGAGGCTAAAGTCTGGGATGGTGATGCCTCCCGTTTTGGTTTTCTTCTTTAATATTACTTTGGCTACTCGGGGTCTTTTGTGGTTCCATACAAATTTTAGGATAGTTTGTTCTAGTTTTGAGAAGAATGTTGGTGTAAGTTTGACTAGGATTGCATTCAATGTGTAGATTGCTTTGGGTAGTAATGACATCTTAACTGTATTTATTCTTCCAATCCATGAGCATGGAATGTTTTTCCATTTTTTTGTGTCTTCTTCAATTTCCTTCATAAGTTTTCTATAGTTTTCATCATATAGATCTCTTATATCTTTGGTTACGTTTATTCTTAGGTATTTTATGCTTTTTTGTGCAATTGTGAATGGGATCAGTTTCTTGATTTCTCTTTCTGTTGCTTTATTGTTGCGGTATAAAAATGCAACCAATTTCTGTACATTGATTTTGTATCCTGCAACTTTGCTGAATTCATGGATCAGCTCTAGTAGGCTTCTGGTTGAATCTGCCGGGTTTTCTATGTAGAGTATCATGTCGTCTGCAAAAAGTGAAAGTTTGATGACTTCTTTGCCAATTCTGATGCTTATTTCCTTTTGTTGTCTGATGGCTGACACTAGGACTTCCAGCACTATGTTAAACCACAGTAGTGAGAGTGGACATCCTTGTCATGTTCCTGATCTCAGGGGGAAAGCTCTCAGTTTTTCCCTGTTGAGGATGATGTTAGCTGAGGGCTTCTCATAGATGGCTTTTATGATGTTTAAGTAAGTTTCTTCTATCCCGACTTTCTCGAGGGTCTTTATTAAGAAGTGATGCTGTAAATTTTGTCAAATGCTTTTTCTGCATCTATCGACAGGATCATATGGTTTTTATCTTTTGTTTTATTGATGTGATGTATCACACTGATTGATTTGCGAATATTGAACCAGCCCTGTAACCCAGGAATGAATTCCCCTTGATCTTGGTGGATAATTCTTTTTATGTGCTTTTAGATTCGACTTGCAAGTATCTTGAGGATTTTTGCATCTGTATTCATCAAGGATATTGGCCTGTAGTTCTCTTTTTTTGCTAGGTCTCTGTCTGGCTTGGGAATCAAAGTGATGCTGGCTTCGTAAAATGAGTCCAGAAGTTTTCCTTTGATTTTTATCTTTTGAAATAGCTTGAGAAGAATGGGTATTAATTCTGTTTTAAATGTTTGGTAGAATTCCTCAGGGAAGCCATCTGGCCCAGGGCTCTTATTTGTTGGGAAATTTTTGATAACTGACTCGATTTCCTCACTACTTTTGGGTCTGTTCAGATTTTCTGTCTCTTCCCGTGTGAATTTTGGTAGTGAGTGTGTGTTTAGGAATTTGTCCATTTCTTTTAAGTTGTCCAGTTTGTTGGCATATAATTTTTCATAGTATTCCTTGATAATTGCTTGTATTTCTGAGGGGTTGGTTGTAATAAGTCCATTTTCATTCATGATTTTGTCTATTAGAGTGCTCTCTTTTTGAGAAGCTTGGCTAGAGGTTTGTCAATTTTGTTTATTTTTTCAAAAAACCGCCTCTTGGTTTCATTGATCTGTTCAACTGTTTCTTTGGTTTCTATATTGTTTATTTCTGTCCTGATTTTTATTATTTCTATTCTCTTACTGGGTTTGGGGTGCTCTTGTTGCTCTCCTTCTAGTTGCTTTAGGTGAGCTGTTAGATTTTGCACTTGTGCTTTTTCTAATTTCTTGAAATAGGCCTGGAGTGCAATGTACTTTCTTCTCAG